TACAAATAAGTAATGACAAGAGAGCAGGTGTAATATCGTGATGAGAAATCCATTTTATTGTTTTTCCACACTACTGTACGCTGTGTTCGTATTGCTTCTCACAAACGGCGCATAACTTCAAAATAATAGTCCTTATTGACCGTACGACCATGTGGCAAGAAGTCTTTAAGAACTACGCCACGGTAATCGAAGAAAATAGTAAGTGAAATATTGTCATCTGATCGAACTTGGCATGAATTTTCGGTCTTCGCTCTCTTGGGCTCTCCGTTTGGAACGATTGGACTCTGATTTCGATGTCATAATCTTTTAAGCAAGTCTTGATCGCAAAATCCAGCAATTTTGGAACGAACTTCGCTGCCACACGCTTCATGCCCATAATTTCCAAAAATTTGCATGGCATGAGCGAACCGATATGCCAACATCCTTAGCAACTTGTCTAATAATGATTCGGCGATTCTCCATAACAATTTTTTTTACTTTCTCAACATTTTCTGTGGTTGTTGATGTGCTGGAGCGTCGTCATTCACATCTCCTCGACTTTCTGTGAAAAGCTTGTACAACTTGTAAACATTTTTACAACTCAGAGTACAATCGCCGTATGCCACTGTCAACATTCCAAGTATTTTTGAGTACTTAATTCTATTTTTCAATACAATATTGATGCAAATTTTTGAATCAATTATTTTAGGTAGCAGAAAATCGCCGAACACGCAAAACATTTTTAACTTTCATCCCTCTCACCAACAAACTCAACATGCTGAACAGGGGAAACTGTGAACATATGTACGAGACGAGTGCACCAACATAAAAATATTGCTTTTCGAATGTACGTTGCCCGTTAAATTTGAACATTCACTTTATTTTTTGATCAAGCCTCGTATTGTATATTATTGTTATTACTGCATACTTTCTCGGCAGCTCCTGAACAATTCATATGCCATACTGAGCACTTTCAATTCTGAATTTTATGAATAAAGTATCCTTTATTGAGAAACTAAAAACCCAATTAAAATTAAGAAGTATTATCAAAATCTAAATAGCAATCATATGTTAGAGATATTCACGGTCAATAACCATTGTATCGGTGTCCTTACCATGGTCAACTCTTTCAATTATAACTCATCTTAAAACTTTAATGAATACCTAACAATTGAAGTCACGTTCTGAAAATTTCTGCATCCTTTGCAGGACAATTTGTTCTGTCCTTTAATAAATACAAGGTTTTGTCTTTTCAATTATATGCATTAACTTATAATCAATGATTTTTAAACCAAGGATTTTTTATTGTGTAGAAGGAGGGTACTTGATAAAAAAAATGGATGGGGGTGAGCCCATATAAAAATAAAAACGATAATTCAAGTTGAGTTGAATTGATTTGTCAATATAATCCATAATAGTTTTGGCACAACAGACGGCATGTGATTTCTTCATCAGTTTACAGATATTAGCAATTAGTTATCAAAATTGCTTCACGCGGGTAAGTTTCATGTGGGTGATTTATGAGCATTATTATCTGTTATCATATTATTCCTTCATCTGCACATATTCAGTTGAAGGTCATTATGAATAATCCATGGTTGCAAGAAACTGCAAAGATTTTGAAATTTTTGAATATATAATTTCAAGAAAGAAACTCACTCTATATTTCTTGGTGTAAACGATACTCGTGTACTAAGTATACTATGTTAATAACTTCCTGAGCCACCGTCACCTAGAGAAATTATCGCAAAAAACTATTAATACAATTCGTCGAACCTTTTGAATTTTGATTAGGATTTTCTCAGAACGCCTAAATAACAATACACTAGATAGAGTTTGGGAAATGGAAAAAATCTATATTTAAACTGAGTTACATTGAAATCAATGATTAAATGAAATATTTTTAAAGCAAAATTACGTTGTCAATGGTATCAAACTTTCAACACATTCGACATTCGACAGTAAAGATATTTGGGGATCAAACGGTAAAACAAAGGGAATATTATAAAGTAGTGAAAAAAAGACTTCAAGAAATTATTGAAACAGGAGACAACTCGAAAACTATCAAGTACATTAACTCTATCCCTACAATAGTAGAACGACACAATGGAAGTGATAAAAAAACCTGTGATTCCTAATGTACAATTCAACCAGGATATTGTCTATGTAAATGTGGAAAGTTTAGTAGCTCATAAGACTGATATTATTCTAAATATTGTAAGTTATAATCCAGCACTGATAGTTTAAAGTGAAGCGAGAACAACTCCAGATGTTAGCAATGCTGAAATATATATAGATAATTATAATGTAATTCGATGTGATAGTAGCAGCAGGCATACTGGAGGGGTTGTTATATATATAAGGGATAACATAGAATACAAGGTAAAAAAATCTTTGGTCAGTGAACCTAACTACTGGATTCAGTTTGTTGAAATTAAAATCAATGGAAAGAAATGGTTAATAGGAGGTATTTATCATTCGCCTACTGAAAGCCATTCTGGTTCTGGACAGTCTGGAAAATATTCTTGAAAATTATTTCTATAATAAGTGTACTCTGATTGGAGATTTCAATATTGATTTCAAAATAGACAGTTTTTATATTAAAAAAGTCATAAATATATTCAACTCATTTGGAATTGATCAACTTGTTACTGATTACACGCGAGTGACAAATAACAGCAAAACTCTTATTGATTATGTGATCTCTAATGAATCAAATATACGAACTGCTGTACATGATGTAC